TTTTTTTTCTTTTTCTTTTTTTTTCTTTTTCTTTTTTTTTCTTTTTCTTTTTTTTCTTTTTCTTTTTTTTCTTTTTCTTTTTTTTCTTTTTCACTACTACTCAGCAACTTAAAAAGACTTTTTGTCATTTGGGCCTTGCATCTCCTTTCTCCTGTCTCCTCTGCTTCCAGATTCCCACTTGCCTCTTGGTACATTGAGTCCTGTTGCCTGGGGGCTGTAGCAGCAGCCTCTCTTTAGACTCTTTCTCACCCTATTCTTGCTGGGCTTYGATTCTGCCTTTCATCACCAAATCCTTCGTTATTTACCTCTATGTTTATTCTTCTTTTCTGGAAGTATTACAGTAGACTAAAGCAGCAGGAAATTATGTTGTGTTTTCCCTCTCATTTTACATTTATTTTAAGCTTTTTTATCTGCCAGTATGGTAAAATGTTTTGCAGTTTTCTGATTTACTTCCAGGTCTATTAAACAAACAAAGAAAAAGAAATGTGAAAGAATATGGGGTATGTTTTGTTAGTGCCTCCATTTTTCATAAAGTTTTAAAATATGTATAATCTCTTGTGAATTCTATTACTCCTTTTATTATTTTCCTATAGTTTATTGTAGAGCTTTTTTCCTTTTGACTGAGATCACCATGCAACAAGGTGTCTAATTCTGATATGCTTTTATTTATTTGTTTTTTTGTTTTGTGAATTTGTTCTGTAAACTCCTTTTCTTACACATTCATTTTATTGTTTCCCTAGCGCAGTGTGTGTGTTACATTGTTTTTCAGTAATATAGTTGAGCCATCGTACAAGCCATTGTAATGATTTTCAGGTTACCTGAACATTGACTCAGGTGCCCTATTCATACTTAACACTCCAAACAGGGAGTGTGGTTGTATCCTYGGCTGCTGCTTTTGTTTTCAGGGTTTCTTCTGTAAGTTAAGTACGGTGTATTTAAGTACCATCTATTGTGTTATTATGTATTTGGATATCTATGGACTTCAGATGACCTTGACTAAATGGTCTTGTAAAGATATCTATCTTCCTTATAAAGATATGCTTCTCAAAAGTATGTGTTGGAAATGCAGTGCATGAATGACTTGATGTTCCCATAGAAGGGTATGTAATTATGTAGATCTTTGTTTAGAGTATGATAAAGGAAAATGCCTGTAAAATTTTTGTTTGAAAGAAAACAGCAAGTAATCTATGTGAATATCACAGTGCCAATAAAAGATTGTGCCAACAACAATCTTTTATTTATTCTTAGAGCTGCATCGTGAAGCATTGTAAAGCATTAGAAAAGCTTAATATTTATTCTGGAAAATTATGTTGATAATTGCTGTATACTGAATGATGTGAAGTCAAGGGATAAAAGTACAAGCAATGTTTTAACAAATTTGAATTACCCAGACTCTACTGCTCAAGTCCCCTTTTATTTTACGGTGACAATTGTGACATTGAATTTAACGTTAATGTAGCTGATTGCTTGGCCTCATTGCCCTGCTGAAAACTTTTTTCCCCATGAGGAACATGTTCTACTAAGCCTGTGGAAATGAGTCCTCCTTGAGGATATTGCTGATCAGATAACCCTAGCAAATTCATTTTTTTGCATTTCCCCAGAAATTAATATGAAACCACAGGGGTAAAAAAATAAAGAGGAATGGCYGATTCTCTCATTTACTGAGTCATTTCCCTTACTAGACAAGACAGGAGGTACATTTCCATGTCTGTTGTAATGACTTTGAAAATTTCCTAATGTGTCCCCCTGAATTTGTCTAGAAACAGGGCAATGAGGCTAAGAATTTTGACAAGAAAAGGCTTAGACTTTTTACATGTATGCCTTTGCTTAATGAAGAACTACCTGGAATTGGCCAGAGAATGTCACAATTCATCATCTTTTCTGTAAGTCAATAGAAAAGAAATAACAATAGTGCCAATAAATAGGAAATACTTCTATTTCAATTCTGAATCTCTCTCTCTCTCTTTTTTTTTTTTTTTTTTTAAATCAAGTGTAGAGGTCTTGGCTAAAGACAAATATGCAAAACGTCTTTGTTAGTCTCAAAGACAGACCAAGTA